ATTTTCAATAGATTAAGCTCTCTTTGCTCATCTGCTTGAGGGATACTCGAAGTACTTGGTTTTGAGATATTTTCTACAACGAATGATTGCGGTGCGCTCATCTTTTTTGATGTCTTAACTTTTCTACAGTTAGAGTAGTTCGAGAATTTAGAAATTTCTTTGCTGTGTCTCATTTGGAATTCACATATCCAGTTTTCGCGCTCTATTTTATTCTCCCAAGGTAGAATTTCTTTCATATTTATATTAGCAAATATGTAAGCCAGTTTGAGTACGCATTCTAATGCGCAAACTTGACAAGTGCAATCTTGAGTTGTTGTTTTCCAGAGATGTAATTTTTCTAGTAACGAAAATTCTTCAATAAATGTGAAAACTCCATGTTTTAATACAGATTGGTCAAATTTGTATGTGACTTTGAATTGACAAAATTTGTCAAATTCTCTTTCTAACGTCTCATAAGTAATATCATATTTTTTCGCAGCCATGAGTAAACTATCTTTTGTATTATATTTTTTTCTATAATTTAAAATTTTATCTATTGCTTTATCAATTATATTTTTTAATGCGAAATATTCTTTTCTGTCCTTTAATATGTAAATTTTTTCGTTCAAAATATCACGATCCTTTTTAGAATTAAATCCATATTCTTTTGCAACAATTTCTACATCTATTTCTTTATTTAAAACTTTTTCAGCTGCTTCCTCGAGTCGATTGCTCAAATTTAAATATTCTCTAATCTTTTTTCTAACATCGGACATTATATAAATCTACAACAAAATAAATCAAATAATTAAAACATACTATGATGTGATAGATAAATAAGAGATACATCGTAAGATGAAAACTGTAATATTATTTTCGTGATTTTCACTTTCCGATGTTGTATACTCGTATAATAATAATTTATTGTATCTATGTGTATCGACATTCAGGATATATATTTTCTTTGAAAGATATTAAAACAATACATAGAATAATATTAATATTACACTGCATCTATATGAGTGTATTTGAAAATTTCTCCTTATTATAAAATACTTCCAAAATAATTATGAAATAGTGTAATTAACACAAAATAATACTTACATCAAAAAATTGCAATAGATCAAAATTTTTTTGCAAATGGGTACTCGAAATACCTGAACTTTTTTTTTTATCGAATAATGACGAAAATATTTGCGATGCGCTCGTCCATAGGAATATAATAGGAATATCTTTTTTGCAGTCAGGCTCTAATTTAGAAATTATTTCGCTATATCTTATTTCAAATTCATACATCCAGTTTTCACTCGCTTTTCCATGTTTATTCCATAAAAGAGATTCTTTCTCTATTTCTAGGATAGAGTTATAAGATGTATTAAAGAAATATTCCAATGCGCAAATTTGGCAAAAGCAAGATGATTGAGACATTTCTTGCCACAGATTGTCTAGTAACGAACATTCATTAATAAATGTTATATTTCTGTCATATTCACAATTCTCTTTATATTTTACATGTATATTTCTGTCATATTCGTACTCTTTATCCATCATTTTTAACTGTATATATTTGTTGTATTCTCGTGTCAATGAATCAACATTTACTTGATTAATATTTAGCATTTTGTTAAATATTTGAACGGTATCTCGTATAGTTTGACCTGAAAGAACAACATTAATTGCGTTCTTAAAAATATTTTTTTCATTAAAATATTCTTGTTTGTCTAATAATATATTTATTATTGTATGTAAAATCCGACATTCTTCATAAATTCCATATTTTTGTGCAATAATTTCAAGATCATTTTTTCCACTTAAAACTTCTATTATTACTTTTCCATGCCGTTTTTTCAAGTATAAAAAATTTCTAATTCTCTGTCTAATATCGAATATTCTATGAATCTGACGAAATAAATAACATAATTAAAACACATCACATGTAATAGATATTAATACGATGTACGAAAGAAGTATATTGTCAGATAAAAATTGTAAGATTATTTTCTGGCAATTTTTATCGTATGATGTTTTTTTTGTTGAATCATATGTATCGAGGATATACATATATTTTTTTCCAAAAAGTTTTTCGAAACAATATATGAAATAATATAAATATACATAAATTTATAATATATTTATGAATTGCTCTTTCTCTTAAAAAATTCTTTAAATTATTATGAAATAATATAAAATTAACACAAAATGATACTTACTTCGTAAATTTCTGATGCATCAAACTTTTTTTGCCCAGGTGCTTGATAGGTGCTGGAAGTACTTGGTTTCGGATTTTCTATCGGTTGCAATGCACTCGTCGTTGCTTGGAGAATATCTTTTATGCAAACAAATGAAAAAAACTTTAAAATTTCTTTGCTATGTCTCATTTCGAATTCATACAGCCATTTTTCGTTTGCTTGTTTATATATATTCCATGTAAGAGGATATTTTTTCTTATTTTTAAAGGCGAATGTATAAGCCCAATAAAATAAATATTCCAATGCACAAATGCAACAAAGGCAACCATTACGAACATTTGTTTTCCAAAAATGCAAGTCTTGCAATAATGAAAATTCATCAATAAATGTAAAAACTCCATTATCTGATGTAAGTTTGTCATATTGGTATGAACTTTTTGACTGATTAAATTTTTTATATTCTTCATATAGTTCTTGCTCATCAATGTTATGTTGTTTTGCAACATCAGATATTTTTAACTGTTTAGATAAAATATCTTTTACTGCCGTTTTAAACTTATTTTTCAATTCAAAATATTCGTTTTTCTTTTTTAATATGTTAATTTTCTTATTCAAAGTATGACGATCTGCGTGATGAATATATATTGCAATAACATTTTCCTGGATGTTGTTATTTAAAACTTCTGCTGCGACGTCATCGAGCCATTTGCTCAGAAGATTTTTGATATTTTGTTTAAAAGCAGACATTGTGTATAAATCTAGCAAAATAATTAGATAATTATAGCATGCTTTGTAATACGATTGATAAAAAAGATATATAGTAAAATAAAATTATTCTATTATTTAATAATTCTTCGATTTTTAGTTTTCAATGTTTGAAACGTTTTATTGTATCTATCGATATTCAGATATAAATATTTTTTTGAAACCAATTTTTTCACAGCGATACATGAAATAATGTTAACAATATACAGAATCTCACTATGTGTATTTAGATATTATTATATTTTAAAAAATCCTTTAAATAATTATAAATAATATAATCGAAGCAAAAAATAATACTTACAAATAGAATCAAAAAACAAATTTTATTTAAAACATCAGGTAATTGAAGGCACTACGTATTTGATCTACTTGTAAACAGAAGCGAATTGACAATGAAATAATCGGTCACCGATCTGAAACCAGGAGTTTAAGCCAGCTTAATAAAGCCTAGTTTACAACAAAAGTTAAATCTAACAAAAGTAAAGCTTAACTTACATTTGTATAAGTTCTCTATGAATAATAAATAAATGACTTTTGCAGCCATTATTCGAATTATTTAATTGTATACTATATTTTTTACTCATCTTAGCTCATGATATATGATAAAATTTAAAATAATTTGTGTCGAGAATATTTGTATTGTTTACGATCTTTCATTAATAGATCTTTAATTAATATTTGATAGAGACTATGTGTGAGAGCATTCGTTTTTTGACATTTTTAATGTATTATGCAATTGTGCAAACTGTAGATATATATTCTTTGTTTAAATTGGAAAAATAGAGCACATATCCTACACATTCGTGTACAACTTGTAAATATTAAAGTATTGACCTACATACATAATTATATACTAGATATTAAAAGGTCTTATAAATTTTAAGAAATATGTTTCTAAAATGGCATTTGTAGCATTTTAACATATTCACTTAATAAAAAAAATGAGAAATGTTTAAAGATTTTATATATATGTTGAATATGTTCTATTTATGTGATTATTTTCTGTTTTATTTTCTAAATTAAATGAGACAAAATGTGTATCAAATAAAATGGACAAAGAAATTAAAGAAAAAAAGAACTTTATTCTGAGCAAAATTATTTTTCATAAAAACTGCGTTAGACAATAAAGAGAATATTTTTTATACAGAAAAGTGTACATTTCGATATATAATAACAATAATGATAAAAGTTATAACCCATTTTTCAAAACATACATAGTATTTGATTTGACCGAATTATTTTATAAACTATACAAGTTTAATCTCTCTCTCTTTCTCTCTCTTTCTCGATTTGAAAATTTACGGGTAACTTTTACCCTTTTATTTTAATCTTGCAATGTGGGCAATTTTTGGGTCCTATATTAATTAAAAGTCTTGTTATCGGACGAAAAATCTTGTCGGTTTTGCCGCAGGCCCCCGAAGCTTCCTTCGCACGATCATGTCGCCTTAACACTGTTGATATCTGTGTGAATTATCTTTCTTCAGGCGATACGAATTCATCGCATTGAGACGGATACGTCGTTAAGCTTTCCGAGGAATTCTAAACGGCGGACGTCGTCATTGGCGATGAACTAACATTACCAAGTTAACGTTAGTATGCTGATTATGCGTATTCATTGTTATAAAAATAAATACGTGGAACCCACCTGGCAGTTGATTGCGACAATCGATTCGAAACGATTCGGACGAGGAAAATGTGATTGATGCGGTCTTTCAAATCGGAATTCTACTCAAGATAGTTCTTGATTAGCCCAAATTGCAGAATTTTGTTCGAAAAAATATTTGAGGGAGTTGTCATTCTTCATTGAATCATAATATGGGATAATTAAAATGAACAATCAAAACTCATCATTTCATCGTATTACAATAAGATTTTAATGCATTTCTTAAATTTTTAATTTATTACGTTGGAAATACAATAATTTAATACCAGGATATAATGGTTAATATTTTCGGATGAAAAAACGATATCAATATTTATTTTTAATAAGTTTAAACGTCCTTTATTTACCATGCATTAAAAATAGTTTATAAAAAATATCATGCAATTTAAGCAAAAATTCGGAATTTTGAGAGATAACATCTTAGTCCCTTTCTTTTAATATTTTAGTTTAAAAAACCAGTTAGGTTAGGTCCATAGGTTGATCATTCTGAGCAACAGATGTAATTTTTGTTTGGGTAGATATATCTTTAGCGGTGTTGATTTGCGACTGGTTAAAATTTTTCCTTCGTAGACCGCTGCGACGTCTGCGTGATTTAGAAACAAGCAACCTCGGAGATTTTGATTTATTTGTCAATTTTTGGGTTTCAATTGGTATTTTTAAACAATTAGGTGAAAAGGTTTTTGAGATTATATTGTATCTCATTTCGAAATTGATGAGCCATTTTCCTAATTTTGCAATGTTATTGCATTTTTTAATTTTATTATAATGTATTGAGTATCTCTTTTTGTATTGAACATATTCATTTGCTAGATTCAACAGTTGTTTCATCGCACATAATTGGCAAAAACAATATGGTTGAAAAATCTTTTTCCAGATCTGTAACTCATTCCATAACAAACGTTCTTCTTTAAGTGTAAAAATTTCTGAGCGGTCCACATATTGATTGTCGATTTTGTATATTGGTATTTGGATATTTCCTTGTGAAATAAAATCAACGCACTCTTTTATTTCGTTCTTTAGTTTTTTCTGACTAATTCCATAGTAATTTGCAGCGGCTTGTACAGAACTTGCTCCATATATATATTCCCTTATTGCTAAGAAATATTTCTGTTTTAGTGTCAAATACTCTATATGTTTTTTAATGACATTTAATTTACAATTCAAGATGTTTTTATCAAGTTCATAAAATACTACAGCGGATTGTACATCTTTCTTTCCACTTAAAACATCTACTGTTGCTGCTTCAAGTTTATTTCTTAATTCTAGAAAACTTTTAATTTCATTATGATATTCAGTAACCTACGAAAAAGCAACAATTAAAAATTAATAAGCAGCCTTTATGGTATACATTGTATGAATCTAAGACAAAAAAATAATTTATGCATGCTATATGATGTGATAAATAAAAAAATATATTATAAGTTAAAAAATCGTAAGATTAGTCTGACAATTTTTATTTACTTGTGTCAAACGCGCACTTGTTTCGTTCAGTCACATTGATATTAAAAAATAGACACATATTCTCTTGTAAAGTTTTTCAAAACAATATATGAAATAATATTAACATAGAGAATTCCATAATATATTTGAATTGCTCTTTATTTAAAAAAAAAATTTGATGATTATGAAATAATATAATTAACACAAAATGATACTTACATGGGAAGTTTCCAATAGATTAAGCTCTCTTTGCTCACCTGCTTGAGGGATACTCGAAGTACTTGGTTTTGAGATATTTTCTACAACGAATGATTGCGGTGCGCTCATCTTTTTTGATGTCTTAACTTTTCTACAGTTAGAGTAGTTCGAGAATTTAGAAATTTCTTTGCTGTGTCTCATTTGGAAATCACATATCCATTCTTCGCGCATTATTTTATTCTTCCAAGTTAGAAGTTTTTTCTTACTTATATTACTTATATTAGCGAATATGTAAGCCAGTTTGAGTACGCATTCCAATGCGCAAACTTGACAAGTGCAATCTTGAGTTGTTATTTTCCAGAGATGTAATTTTTCTAGTAACGAAAATTCCTCAATATATGTGAAAACTCCATGTTTTACAGGTTGGTCAAATTTGTATGTGATTTGTAATTGGCAAAATTTGTGAAATTCTCTTTCTAATATCTCGTAAGTAATATTATATTTTTTCGCAGCCATGCGTAAACTATCTTTCGTATTATATTTTTTTCTATAATTTAAAATTTTTTCTATTGCTTTATCAATTTTATTTTTTAATGTAAGATATTTTTTTTTGTCTTCTAATATGTAAATTTTTTGTTTCAAAATTACACGTTCCTTTCTATTAAATCCATATTTTTTTACAATGGTTGCTACATCTATTTTTTTATTTAAAACTTTTTCTGCTGCTTTCTCGAATCGATTGTTCAAATTTAAATATTCTCTAATTTTTTTTCTAATATCGGACATTATATGAATCTACAACCAAATAAATCAAATAATTAAAACATACTATGATGTAATAAATAAATAAAAGATGCATCGTAAGATGAAAACTGTAATATTATTTTCGTGATTTTCACTTTCCGATGTTGTATATAATAATAATTTATTGTATCTGTGTGTATCGACATTCAGGATATATATTTTCTTAGAAAGATATTAAAACAATATATAGAATAATATTAATTTTACACTGCATCTATATGAGTGTATTTGAAAATGTCTCCTTATTGTAAAATACTTTTAAAATAATTATGAATAGTGTAATTAGCACAAAATGATACTTACATCGGAAATTTGCAATGAATCAAAGTCTTTTTGCACATGGATACCCGAAATTCTTGAACTTTTTTTTTTACCGAATAATGACGAAAATATTTGCGATGCGCTCGTCCATAGGAATATAATAGGAATATCTTTTTTGCAGTCAGATTCTAATTTAGAAATTATTTCGCTATGTCTTATTTCAAATTCATACATCCAGTTTTCATTCGCTTTTTCATGTTTATTCCATAAAGGAGATTCTTTCTCTATTTCTAGGATAGAGTTACAAGATGTATTAAAGAAATATTCCAATGCGCAAATTTGGCAAAAGCAAGATGATTGAGACATTTCTTGCCACAGATTGTCTAGTAACGAACATTCATTAATAAATGTTATATTTCTGTCATATTCACAATCCTCTTTATATTTTACATGTATATTTCTGTCATATTCGTACTCTTTATCCATCATTTTTAACTGTATATATTTGTTGTATTCTCGTGTCAATGAATCAACATTTACTTGATTAATCTTTAGCATTTTGTTAAATATTTGAACGGTATCTCGTATAGTTTGACCTGAAAGAACAACTTTAATTGCGTCTCTAAAAATGTCTTTTTCTTCAAAATATTCTTGTTTGTCTAATAATATATTTATTATTATATGTAAAATCCGACATTCTTCATAAATTCCATATTTTTGTGCAATAATTTCAAGATCATTTTTTCCACTTAAAACTTCTATTATTACTTTTCTGTACCGTTTTTTCAAGTATAAAAAATTTCTAATTTTCTGTCGGATATCGAATTTTCTATGAATCTAACGAAATAAATAACATAATTAGAACATATCACATGTGATAGATTTTAATATGATATACGAAAGGAGAGTATATTGTATAAATTGATAAAAATTGTAAGATTATTTTCTGGCAATTTTTTGTATGATGTTTCTTTTGTCGAATCATATGTATCGAGGATATACATATATTTTCTTGCAAAAAAGTTTTTCGATATATGAAATAATATAAACATACAGAATTTCATAATATATTTGAGAATTGCTCTTTCTCTTAAAAAACTCTTTAAATTATTATGAAATAATATAAAATTAACACAAAATGATACTTACTTCGTAAATTTCTGATGCATCAAACTTTTTTTGCCCAGGTGCTTGATAGGTGCTGGAAGTACTTGGTTTCGGATTTTCTATCGGTTGCAATGCACTCGTCGTTGCTTGGAGCATATCTTTTATGCACACAGATGAAAAAAACTTCAAAATTTTTTTACTGTGTCTCATTTCGAATTCGTACAGCCATTTTATGTCCGCTTGTTTATATTTATTCCATGTAGGAGGATTTTTTTTCTTTTTGTTTAAGGCAAATGTATAGGCATATTTGAGTAAATATTCCAATGCACAAATGCAACAAAGGCAACCATTCTGAACATTTGTTTTCCAAAAATGCAAGTCTTGCAATAATGAAAATTCTTCAATAAATGTAAAAATTCCAATATCTGATATAACATTGTCATATTGGTATGATCTTTTTAACTGATTAAATTTTCCATATTCTTTATACAGTTCTTGCTTATCAATGTTATGTTGTTTTGCAACATCAGATATCTTTAACTGTTTAAATAAAATATCGTTTACTGCCGCTTTAAACTTATTTTTCGATTCAAAATATTCGTTTTTCTTTTTTAATATGTTAATTTTCTTATTCAAAGTATAACGATGTGTGGGATGAATATATGTGACAATAACATTTTCCTCGATGTTATTATTTAAAACTTCTGCTGCGGCGTTGTCCAGCCATTTACTCAGATAATTTTTGATATTTTGTTTAAAAGCAGACATTGTGTATAAATCTAGCAAAATAATTAGATAATTATAGCATGCTTTGTAATACGATTGATAAAAAAGATATATAGTAAAATAAAATTACCTATTATTATTTCTATTATTTAATAATTCTTCGATTTTCATTTCTCAATGTTTCAAACGGTTTATCCAATTGTATCTATCGATATTCAAAGATAAATATTTTTTTGAAACCAAGTTTTTCACAACAATACATGAAATAATGTTAAAAAAATAGAAGACCTTACTGTGTATTTGAGTATTATTATATTTAAAAAAATTTTTCAAATAATTATAAATTAATATAATCGAAGCAAAAAATAATACTTACAAATAGAATCAAAGAACAAATTTTATTTAAAACATCAGATAATTGAGCGGACTACGTATTTGATCTACTTGTAAACAGATGCGGATTGACAATGAAATAACCGGTAACCGATCTGAAACCAGGAATTTAAGCCAGCTTAGTAAAGCCTAGTTTACAACAAAAATTAAACCTAACAAAAGTAAAGCTTAACTTACATTTGTATAAGTTCTCTATGAATAATAAATAAATGACTTTTGCAGCCATTATCCGAATTATTTAATATTGTATACTATATTTTTTACTCATCTTAGCTCATGGTATATGATAAAATTTAAAATAGTTTGTGTCGAGAATATTTGTATTGTTTACGATCTTTCATTAATAGATCTTTAATTAATATTTGATAGAGACTATGTGTGAGAGCATTCGTTTTTTGACATTTTTAATGTATTATGCAATTTATTATTAATTGTGCAAACTGTAGATATATATTCTTTGTTTAAATTGGAAAAATAGAGCACATATCCTACACATTCGTGTACAACTTGTAAATATTAAATATTGTCCTACATACATAATTATATACTAGATATTAAAAGGTCTTATAAATTTTAAGAAATATGTTTCTAAAATGGCATTTATAGCATTTTAAAATATTCATTTAATAAAAAAAAATGAGAAATGTTTAAAGATTTTATATATATGTTGAATATGTTCTATTTATGTGATTATTTTCTGTTTTATCTTCTAAATTAAATGAGACAAAATGTGTATCAAATAAAATGGACAAAGAAATTAAAGAAAAAAAGAACTTTATTCTGAGCAAAATTGTTTTTCATAAAAACTGCGTTAGACAATAAAGAGAATACTTTTTATACAGAAAAGTGTACATTTCGATATATAATAACAATAATGATAAAAGTTATAACCCATTTTTCAAAACATACACTATTTGATTTGTCTGAATTATTTTATAAACTATACAAGTTTAATCTCTCTCTCTTTTTTTCTCTCTTTCTCGGTTTGACAATTTACGGGTAACTTTTACCCTTTTATTTTAATCTTGCAATGTAAGCAATTTCTGGGTCCTATATATTAATTAAAAGTCTTGTCATCGGACGAAAAATCTTGTCGGTTTTGCCGCAGGCCCCCGAAGCTTCCTTCGCACGATCATGTCGCCCTAATACTGTTGACATCTGCGCGATTTATCTTTCTTCAGCCGGGAATTCGTCGCATTGAAACGGTGGATACGTCGTTAAGCTTTCCAAGGAATTCTACAAACGGCGGACATTGTCATTGGCGATGAACTAACATTACCAAGTTAACGTTACTATGCTGATTTGACGTATTCATTATTATAAAAATAAAAACGTGCGACGCAAAATAATCAACTTTACACAGTATCTTTAACAGTAAAATTATTTAAAATAATCATTGTCTAAAAACTTTAATCATTATTTCAAGAAAAAGGAATTCTGATAATTCTTTTAAAATTATTATTTCTATTAACAATTTTAATTATCACGTTTCAAATAAATATTTCTTCTATATTCGTACAACGATTATTTCAATAGAAAATAAATGTTTAAGTAATGTTTTATTAATAAAACGCGCTTTATATTATTTAAAAATAATTCCTTTCGGGGAGAAGAGAGAAAGAAAAGGGCGAAGAGAAGAGAAGGAGAGGAAAAGAAAGAATGCGACAGAAGAAAAAAAGTAATCTGCATCTTTGGAATGTGTGTATTTGTCTCGGCGCCATGCGCCGTTGTGCGTGTCGTCTAACGCACGCACGCCGCGCGATACGCGCTCCGTCATGTGGTATCAGCGCCGAGAGACGTCCCTGGTCTCCAGGAGATCAGAAAGTCGACCGCGGTTACGGGCCACTGCTGTGTCTCACTGTCATAATATCCTAATATCCTCGGTGTCTATTCGTTTCTGTCCGCGGCGACAAACCTGGATAATTTACGAGGCCATCGGCCGACCGATGCTGCCTGGTTGCGCGCCCTGCGTGTGATGAAGGATCCAATAAGTGTGCAATTAAGATAATATTAAGATAAAATTAAGATAATATTATAGTATTCTTACCTACGGGAAATCTCAACTATGCGAATTGACGGCGAAATTGCAAACAAAGGAACATGACAGCACAATTCAGATTTAATTGAATCATCAGTTCATTAATATACATTTTGCAGGATATAAATTTTTGATTTTCAGTTTCCCGATGTAAAATCCGAGCACTCTAGTGAGTTTATTGTCAAAGAGAGGTTCAAAAAAAGGAGAGAAAATTCCGATCAAGGTGAACAAAGATTTTTCCCGAGGCAGACAGGTTGACCGGTTTCGGTCGGAAATGTGGGGCGATCGGATCATGATTTCCTGCTACCGTTGACATCCTTGCCACGAGGCAAACGCAATTTTACGATAGGGTTTGTATAGGTCCGCGACCAATAGCATCGCGACGCAACGTTTTATGGGGCAAGGAAATTTCTTACGATGGACTTTGAAACCTCCATGGTTTCCTGATTCTGCGTTCTTCCGTGCTTGAGAAAAAAACGCACTTTTTGACGCATTGCCGACGAGTTTTTGGATTCGTGTTCCTCCAAGAGACGCATCAGAAATCAATATGGTAATCATCGTTCAATAAATATTAGAAATATAAAATTTGCAATTTGTGCGATCGAAATATTTTTGCTCTTCTCTCTTCTTGTAGAAAAATTTACATCAACCTGCAAATAATAAAAACAACGTTACGTTAATCACGTGCGTGTTAATATATAATATAATTTTGTAAAGCAATCGGAGAAAATTTATCGAGAACTGCAATGGATTTGCTTCTGGTCTGACAAAGAGATAATTAGATTCGCAAACACAAATATTAAAATTTTCCAATCGATACACGAAACAACCATGGCTAATCGCAACCCTATCCCACTTTTCACGCTAGTCGCGAACCGCGATCACGCCATGATTTCCTGATCGAGTCATCCGGAAGTTGACAAAAAACGCAAAGTTTCCGATGACAGTCTAAACTTGCGCAAACTCATCCGCGTCGTAAAATCAAGTCGCGATTAAAGTCGATCGAACCATGTATTAATTTTCATCCCGATTAATCTCGAGGATAGGTATCGAGTCGATTTACGTCGCAAGTTTTACTCTCGTCTTTCACGACTCGCTTTTACAATTTTTTCTGTATAGAGGTACATAGGCGTTCTTGCCCTACGGCTCCGCTTTAGGGCCGGTAATTGCCCTAATCGCTCCTCCTGCACGCGATATCCTCCACGCAAAGATGATTGCCTAATTCCATCTTCCTCGGTGCCAATTAGTATTCATGCGCAGTCGTGCACGCTCCCGAGACACGAGGTGAGCTGCTTTCGTTCTCACGAACGACGAATCTTTTGTCGGCGACGACACGGTAAACAAAGGATTACGGGTGAACCGCTCGACGCTGATTTAAAGATAAACTAACGCAACAGGAATCCATGAGCCGCGAGGGGCAACCCCTGGTGAAATTCCGCGGGACACCCTCTTGCAGCGCCAAGCTCGAGTCCTTTTATGGGAGAATTCACGACTCTTAATCCCTAAAGGGCATACGCCTACGCACTTTTACTAGGGAACCATGAAGAAAGGACTGGTCGAAACACGTGCGAAAGCCCTTCGGCAGTCCTGAGAAAGGGATCCGCCCTCCCGTAACAGTCCCCTTGTATATGGCGTATTTACGAACTTTCCGGAACAACGTTAATGTAATACATACCATTGCGAGAAAACTACCGGTGCACCGTGATATGCATGTACCGAGCAAATGCGCGAGTGCAAGAGTTTCGCTTTGCGAGGATTCGTCGAGGAAAAATATGCATTGATATAAAAATAATAATATACGTAATATATATAACATCGTAACCGTTGTTATAATATTATACCATGTTGCAACGGCCTCGAAAAAATTGCAACTTTAAAGAAAAGATCGCGTATAATCGAGCAATAATAGGGTAACAATGCGATGACATTTGCGATTAATAAATAGAATTTTTGTTTTGAAAGAGAAAGAGAAAGATGGCAATTGGCAATATGTAGCGATTGGGTGATGGATCAAAGAGATACATCCGATATATGTAAAATCACGCTCGAGTCTCAGCGACGAAGGATAGCTATCCACGCGGTTTCGCCAAGGGCTTCGAAAAGTGAAAGTCAAATCAGCGTCGAGGTTTAACAGGATACCATGAACCGGTCGACAAATTTTTGAGATCGATTTCTCGATAGCCGTTTCGCGCGAGCATATCACATATGGCGCGTATCGCCAACAAAAGATTTATCGTAACATCTTGGACTGTATTTCATCGCGGTAATTTATTAATACGAGAATGAAAGGGGAAACTCGAGAATGGAAAATCGAACCGCTGCTTTCCAAGGTACACGATATTTATAAACTTGTACGGTACTGAAATTTGAGAGAACCCGTTATAAAATAACGTTAGAAATTTAAGAAATTCCTTTAGTAAAATCAATTTTTTTCATCCACAAAATATTTTATACCTTTTCTTCGGATGCGGAAATAGCATCTCGCAGATTGCAAGGCATCGCTTTGTTTTATACGTCCTAAAATTTTGATCTAAATTTAGAACCTTAATTTAGAAAATTGCCACCTCACGTGTATTCTTTGTATATCTAGAGATACACACATCTCTATTAATAAACTTTGATAATTAAAAGAAAAAAACAAAATAAGATCAAAGAAAGAGAGATAAAGAGAAGCGATGTTCTATTGAACTATCATGTATGAAAAAGAAGAATTACATTTTTCTCTAAATTGGATTTACATAATGCGGCTTGTCTAGAGAGCATTCTCAGAGATATGCTCTCCTAATCGATGTCATCAGCCGACTTCCCTTCAACGACGACAACGTTCATTGTCGACGAAAGCGCGTTCCGGACGTAGAATTATAATCGAGTCGCGCGTTGACCCCTTTAGGGCCGTCACGCGAAGGGCCGCGTTCCCAGGGTCTTAGAACATGCATGTAAGTATTTTGGGGACTCTCGGCCCTGTTACACCATAATCCCTAAGGGCGATGGCGCAACAGAGACTCGGCAGAGACATGGCGTCAAGAGCCTAATCGAATGCTTGAGCAATCGTTGGTCTGATATTATCGTCTTCCTAGTAGAAACAGAAGGAAAGAACGGGCCACGCTTTCCTTAGTGTAATAATCATTTAAACCGAGTCGTAACAATTTTAACAACTTTAACAATTTTATTAAACTAAATTTTATTAAATTTTATTAACAATTTTGTTAATAATTCACGTGTTATTGCATTTATATATATATATATATATATATATATATATATATATATATAAATGACATATTATAAAAATTGTTAAATATTATATATATTCTATATGAAAGCAATATAAAAATCATAATGTCATTTTGCAACAAAGTAATTTTATCTCTGGTTCGATTACGCAGATCAGCAAAACATGCTTGTAAAAACATTTCGTTGAAATTGTCAGTGGAAAAACTTTATCTGATACATGATTCGTGTTGATGGAAAAGACAGATATTAATCGTTTATCAATTCCGGAGAATTATTCATCTTTCTGTCACGCGCATTTATACCATCAAGATTATTTCGCGTTGCATTTTTATTTGAATACTTGGCTTTGTATACACATTAATTCCTTATCGAACGTGACTGAAACTAAAACGCATTCGCGAAAGATTTGATTGCACATTTGCAAAGTTTAAATATCTTTGTTTTTTTTATGTTCGACATTTGATTAAAATGTTATAATTACAACTGAAATATTTTTAAAACTACAGCGATTACAGCGTACAAGTTTATTGTTATTCATTTGGATTCCGAGACATCAATTTAGCGAGAAATCTCTTTAAAATTAAGTCGATACAAGTTCAAGCTTTTGTTGAGAATTTGATCCATTCGAATCGAAGTATAATTTTTTGATTCGCAGTCCATGCGCTTTTGAATTTTTAACCCGCGAATTTTTAGCCCGTAAAAAAAACACTGAAAATTTCACTTTGGTTAGCGATGCGAAACGCACAATACGCACAACTGGCGTATGTCGCATCGCGTCATCTCGCTACGCCGTTTTCATGTTCGCCTGGTAAAAAAATGAAGTTCGTTTTGTATGAACCTTTTTTTTCCTCCGGTCCCGTGAAATTGACGCTTAATTGTCCGCGCGCTACAACCACTTGAGAGGCGCGCGATTAATAACTTGTCGCGCCGATTTTTGCACGTCGGATTCATGGCACGTTCAAAGGGTTACGCAACCTCAGACGGACACGTGTCGGCGAGTGGAACAGGGTTTCATGAAGACGGACGAAGTGTTCGGATCGAAGTGCGCGGCCCTACAAAGGCGTGTCGAGAAGGAGACGATTGGGGCGAGAGAAAACCCGACCGAAAACCGAAAAGGATCAATCGGAATGCGATCTGCGAATTTCCGAATCTTGTCTTCAAAATCGAAAAATTTTTCTTTCCTCGATATATATTTTCTTATATTTCTAATGAGATTCGTACATGGAAGTCTTGTCCTTATTATTATAAACTCTTATCATGTTATTGTTTTGTGAAATTGAATTTTATGAAGACGTCAGATTGTGAACTTTGTAAATATGCAAAGTGCAAATGCATCAATTGCGAAATTTGGAGAAGTACATTGTGAGGCATATCGCACTCGTATCGGATTCCGATATTTTAATATTTGGAAACCGCCCTCGCTTATCATTTGGACGGGGCACACAAGTCACAGTGACGAAATTCGAAGTTCGTAGAATCATTTACGTATTATGTTTGTGCGATAAGTTATTTTTCCGAAGCGAAATTATTATTATTCTTGGGATTTACATATCGATTGAAGCAATTAAAATGTTTATATATATATATATATATATATATATATATATATATATACATTGATTATATTGATTTTTTCTTCTTTTGATACAACTTTTAGTTCTACTTTCGAAAACAAATCTTCGTTCAATCGACCTACGTCCCGGAAACGCATTACGTTATCTGATGTACATTGACCAGAATATTCTTAACTGCAAACGATAGCAAAACAATAGTACAAAGTACAGTCTTCATCGAGACCTATTTGACGTACGTTTCATTGAATAAAAAACTTTTGATGCGAAGAAAGAGAGAAACAGAGAGAAAAGAAAATAATTAACGGCTATATTAAATTTACGCACGTCATCGTTATATACATTGATAAATATTTATTCAATCGCGTCGAAATTAAACATGCTTAAATAATCTACCCTTTAATCAAAAGCGATTTTTAACAATTAAGTAATCGCGGTAATAAAATCGAGAAAACGCAAAATAACAAACGGGTATGTAAAAGATAAGAGTAATTAGAAATAAAGAAATGAAAACTTTCTTTTAGAAAAGATTATAAGTAGAAAAATAATTATAAAATTTTATGATATAAACGAGAAATAAACTACATTATAATTATATAACAACACGTGGTACATAGCATAATTGCTTCATAAATATTACGTAAAGTGCAACGTTGGTTAGTTGCGGCCGAGTTCCGATGAATAATTAGCAATTTAACTGAACGGCGCTTCGTGTGTGGGTCGTTTTACGTTACTGGCGCGACGACGTAAATCACTTTACGGCTCGGTCGAGCTCGAAGGACACCTTACACGGAGGAGCATGAATGATAGATGGGAATAAATGGATGGGGATTGGATAGGGCAATGTAACAGGGTAGCAAGGGTTGGCAGGAGCGTTTCAAGGGCTCCTTCAAGGTCAAAGGGGGGCGGCGATCTGTCGTTCGTATCATTAAAGACCCGCGTTATACCGTCCGTTGCTGCCCACGCTCGTGAATAACGCGCGAATAATTTACATTCGATCTCTGGCCTCCCTTTTTCGCCATTCATCATTTCGCCATTTTCTTTCGCGCACGCTATATACTTATGCAGTTAATCGGCAATTACAACGAAATTTATTGCAATTGAACGTCAGACTCGCACGCCCGCCCACACACACACACATATATACACAAAGTGGCTTAATAATATTTCATTTTAAAATGATATATGATTGTGGATTTAATATAATTCTAATTTATAATTCTATATCTTTTATAAGTCTGCGAAATATATGTGTAAAATAAATATATTTTGTGACATTATTTTTAAAATTCATCACGCTAAGATAGCATAAAGGTAGATGCAATCGCGGAAGAATCGCGACAGGATTGGCGCGCGGATCCTGTATTCGGTTGTTCTCGGGGTTGCAACCCTCCCCCGAACGCGGTCCGCGCGCGGCTGTCATTCATACTTTTCGCGGTAATCACGATGCAGCAGTCGTACGATTCGGCTACCAAGTCCGCAGAAATGGTCAGGAGCCCCGTCCTCGGCCGCGCGATTTCGCTAGACGTTTCCTGGGCAACGCGAGACGTTTCCTCGGCAACGCGAGACGTTTCCTGGGTAACACGTGAGACGTCTTGGGGGTGCGCGGTATTAGGGATTCACGATCGGCTAGGAGGCCGATTTTCAACGCTACCCGGGGGTGACTCGCAAAGGGGGATGTTTGGGGGATATGCGGGGCTTCGTTTACGCAGGCAGGAGCTCCATCGGGGTCGATGGCACCCCATAGGGCGGCGCGCCAATTCTATGGCGTGCGTTACTGGCTCTCTCGACTCAACCCGTATATCGATCGGTTCGATACCTTTTTATGCCGGAAAAGGGCTCCTGTGACCTGTCCCTGACGTTTGAGGCCCGCTTTGTATTGTGTTACTCAGCGAATTTTGTATAACGAAACTTGGGTTTCGTTTACTCACAAAGAAAAACAGTTGCAAGAAGTTTTAGTTAACACGGTATTTTCTTAGGACTTTTCATATCGTTTATACATAACGTGACCATATGTCTTGCTTTTAAGCTATGTGTCCCGCTGCCCAAAATACGTAAAAATGTCCCGCTTTGACAAAACTGGCAGTAACGCTTCAGTCGAAAGAGTGTTTTCCCATATGAATAAAATATGGACTAGTGAAAAAACACAATTAGGAGTCGCAGTGTTAAAAGCCATTTTGATAACAAAGAGTAACATTCTTATTTTTTTCTTTTTTTTTTATTATTCATTAAACATTTCATAACTATATTATAAACATGTGTTTTATTTTTAAAACAATAATTTAAGGGCGTCCCGCTCCGAGGGAAAAAATAGATGGTCACGTTATTTATACACACACATATATACATTGCTTATAAATAATTAATCCGTTTAAAATATAATAAATATACATGTGTGTATGTGAGAGAGAGAAACAGAATTTAAATATTTATATTATTTAATTATAACTATATTATCTAATAATTTGAATCACTAATACATCTATTTTCAACAATACATTTAAGAATATACATTTAAGAATGTGCTATAAATTTTCACAGAGCTACAAGAATCTAGATCGTAATCGTCGCATAAATTATTCTCGTATATCTTTGGCGAATAAAAATCGAACTAGATGCAACAAAGCTCTTTCCTACACTCTACTCAGGAATTTCCCGATAAAGATTTCTCTTACGTGATTGCAGGAGCCGTACTTTAATGATGCGGAGAATACCCGTCGTGCTATTGGAAACAGGGAGAAAACGAGGACAAGCACTTTAACGAGCACTTTAAGTGGCTTTGATCCGGTTTAATTAGCCGCAAGCCGCTGGACCACCGGTGGATTTATCGTCTTGTATTTTCCGAGAAGAAGAGCGTTTCCACGAATAGGCGGTCGCTACAAAAAGGTGGCGGTCCTTTTGAAGACTCTCTCGACGACATCCCGTGGGATTCTGTGAAAACAGTATTTCGTTTAATGACTTGTTTCACACACACACAGGCAGGTCTTTATGTTAGTAAGGGCCAGCCAATCAGTGGACAAGAACTTTTTAAATATTTTGGGGCACGGCAGAAAATTGAAGAATTTGATGGAATTATTCAAATTTGAGGAACTGTACATATAAATTGCTTTAAAATATTATAATTATCTCTACAAGTATCGATTATAAATTGTATTCTATTTAGTCACGTAATTTCTAATATTTCTGTAACTGTGTACAAAAAAAAATAATATAAAGCACACAGTAAATATACTACACAGTGAATATTTTTTAAAGACTAATTAATTGTAAAGAGAACGAGAGACAAAGAGAGGGGGAGAGAAATATAAAATAAATGTATTTGTTGCAAAAATTTCTTTCGCACGATGGCTCGTAAATATAGCACAGATAGAAAATTCTAGAAAGATTCATTAGATTGAAATGACCACCTCCTATTCCCATCTCGAAACCGGATAAGAACGCTTCGTGAAAGAGAACAGCTGAGCTCCTCCTGGAGTGGGGCGAACACGCATGAAGTTCACATGGGTCAGCAGAAATTTGAGTGATTAGTGCCGATCAGTGGACCTGGGATCATCGAGAACGCTTGAACGTGACCGTGTCATCGCTTCCGCACGCGTCTCAATATTTCCCTCAACGGTTCGATTAACGTTTATAAGATCGATAAATCGATCCGAGCAAGAGTTGTTTTCAGTGCAATTCGAAAATTATTTAACGAAAAAAAATATTCAATTTTTATAAAAGACTATTTAAATTAAATTATCCAAGTTTATAATACTTTTAAAAGTCATTTAAGTAAATATATTAATGACATGCACTCTCGAAGATTTAAAAAAAATCGAAGAGATATTAATGATTCGAGATAGCGCTGTCAATTGGCGTGATATAAATTTCGTTTATTCCGCGACAGACGCTTAATATCAGGATCGTTGCCGACACGAGTATTATCACGAGCCGCCTTTACGTCAATAGATTTTTCATTATTATTACTGATACCGAGTGTGACTTACTTAGAGTAGCTGACAGTGACGAATCGACCCGCCGACGAGACAGACATTTAGAGAGCTCACGAGATCTTTGGACACAGTCAAGAGCCAAGGACGTCGCGACCACGTTCGCAGTGAAAAAGTATTTCTTTCTTCTTCAACCAATCGATACAAAGTCCGAGAAACCAAAATCCTCGGATGTTTATGTGCGTCGCGCGATTCTTCGACGGGCTACAATAACAGAGGGTAAAGAAAAAGATGTTCTTAATCAGCTGTAATTAACTTCATCTTGCACGGAAAACGCATCGAAACTTTTGAGAGACTGTGATATAATCTAATTTTTTATATATATTTTTCATCGACGAAATTCTTTTTTAGTTCCACGCCGATTGTTAATTCGAATCAAATATTCGGCATGTAATATCTATCATATAGTACACAAGAAATGTACACACGAAATATAGGAATATCGAACAAGTTATAAACCAAACAACATATATATATATAACACTTGTCAACACAAAGGATATTTCAACATGTTCCTCAACGAGACCCTGTTCGTGCTGGCGTACACGGCCAATATAATGGCTACCCTGCCTGAAAATGTGGAAAATGTCAATTTAGCCGAGAATATTACTACCACAACCTTATCGCCGGAAGAGGAGGAGAACAAATTCGATCTGGACGACCGTAAGTGTAAATTTTTCTTCTGAAAAATCTGTCTGATTTTTTATTGTTCGTTAACAATAAAAGATAAAAAGAAAATAATATTTGTTTCTTGCGATAATAACATAATGATTTAAAAATTTTTATTTAAACGTGTGAATAAAGAATTAAGATAATAATCAAATACTTCCTTGTCGGAATCATTCTAATAAAGAAAATGAGGCTTACTGTCTTTGCTGTCACGTGCAATCGTATTAATTGCTGATCCAACGCGAAGACAAAACAGAGTTTTCGAAGAACTGATAAAGCTGCGCGTGAAGATATATCGTGAACGCGTCTGATAACCCCTGAGAGAGTAATTCGTAATGGCGTTCTTTCGTCGCTCGAAACTTGTTGATCCGATATAGAACGGTGAAGGACGGTGAATAAATCAGTTAGATATGTTTATTTTTAGTGACGCGTTATCTGTGCCGAAATTTTATATACAATAGCGTGAAATTCCTAACGAGAAGCTGATTCTTCGATCGGGTTTCAATTTTTTTTACTTTTTCATGCAAAATATTTTATGCTTTTCTCTTGTTTAAGATACAGTTGATTGAAATGCAAATGGATCGCAACAATTTTTTATGTCTTGAATAACATTTTAAGTTATAGGATCTTTTTATAAATTATGCAAATTTGTAACATGATCAAAAAGAAAGATTTACAAAATTGTCATGAATCAGAATATTTTATGCTTTTCTTTTGTTTATGATACACTTGATTGAAGTGCAAATGGATAGCAAACATTTTTTATGTATTGAATAACATTTTAAGTTATAAGATCTTTTTATAAGTTATGCAAATTTGTAAACATGATAAAAAATAAACAAGATTTACAAAATTGTCATGAATATGAAGCGCTTTAAATATGGTGAGGCAATATATTATATGAATGCACGTTATTTAACTTACGAACAAGATTTCTTTATTTATATTCGTTTTTGTATAATATTGAATTAATTTTAAAAGTGCGAATAATTATATTTTATTTAAAGATTTCTAAAGATTTCAAAATAATTGTTGTGTATTTTAAGAACTTGAAAAAAATTCTTGAGTTAAATATAATAAATTTTTCATTAAATCCTTTGATCTCTTATAAATAAAGAGTAACAAGTATTTATTTAATCAGAATGGTACATGTGGCGATGCTTCGAGCCGTACGGTTGTTTCTATATCGGAGCACCTTGGTCCGGAGAAAACCGACCGGTGTCTACATTTCCGGCACGTCCGGACAGCATCAATCCCCGTTATATACTTCATAAGCGCACACAGGTCGATCAGAACTATGAGCTGAAGATTGATGACTTTGATACGATCCGGAAAACGCCCTTGAAAAAAGAGAACAATTTATATTTCATCATCCATGGGTTTCTTGAGAACGGCGACAAGACTTGGGTCCTGGTGAGCATATCCCAAGATTTTTGAGGAAAATTTTATAGAGATATAAGACATATATGCACACATATATACATATATATGTAAAATATTTGAGAGATAATTAATGAGATTAATTAAATTTTAATTAATAATTATGAGAGGATTTTATATATTGATTAGTTTTTACTATTTTCTCAGAAAACAAATTATATCATATATTCTAGTTTTATAATTTAATATTCTTTATATTTCCGTGAAATTTTATTGTTTTTGAAAAGAAATTTACCTCTTTAATATGATCGTACAGTTAATCTAAATATCTTAATTGGCTAGAGACTGATGAAGGAACTGCTGTTGAAAGAAGACTGCAACGTCATTATTGTCAATTGGATTGGCGGTGCAGGACCACCTTACACGCAGGCTGTGGCCAACACGCGACTCGTGGGCGCAATGACAGCTCGTCTGGCGGCTCAGCTGATCGAGATCGGCAAGATATCACCCTCGAGGATGCACTGCATCGGACACAGTCTGGGCGCCCACACTTGCGGCTACGTCGGCTACGCCTTGAGCTATCGATATGGCTACAAGCTTGGTCGGATCACAGGTACAATCGGATAATTATAGTGCGTATAATTTTGGCGCCAATCTCACGAAGCACGAGAAGCGCGAGAAAACTTTTATATATCTTATACTTTTGTCAATATTTTTTCAAACTCTCTGAGAACTCGTACATCGCGCATCAATTCGTAAGCGAAATTTTACACGATCCATAAGTGAGACTAAAAAATGATCGATTAAATAATCTTCTCAAATATTACATACGCGCGATAATAAATTGCGACAGAAGGAGATGTGTCGAGGGTCTCTTTATGAAAGGCTTAAAAAGAAGTGTGCGTAACACAGGAAAGCGAGAGATGAGGTGGAAGGTAAACGCAGGAGTGAAATAAGTGACGGAGGTATGCAAATTTGCAAAAGAAATGCGACGTAAACGCGTGCGCGCACAAACACATTCGTGCCTTTCTTTTTCTCCTTTCTCTCATTTTTCTGACGATCAATGTCGGAGCCGGTCGCTTGTCCCCTCTCGCGGTCGTAAACAGCTCGGAGCATTACGAAGATAGCCGATTGATTCGCAGATGATCAGGATAGCAGTTGTCGCAGGAGTATCTCGCTCGAAAAAATTTAATGTCAGATCGGTCTTTTTATTAATCTTGATAAAAAAAGGTGGGCGGTTTATTGCAATAATCAATGATGATAAATAAGATGTCACTTTTCGCACTCGCTACAATTTTACCTTTTAATTTTTTCAAAGCTGAAAAAAAAATTTTATATTTTTATTTTATTTATAGCCATATTTATAGTATGGTAAATCAAAAATAACAATAATCACATCATTTTGGCGAAAATATAGATACATAAGAAGAAAAATGTTTAACTATTTGATTGTATAGCGTATAAGGTTCAGAACATTTCAACTTTCTATCGAAGTCTCCATTACACGAATTTATCATTTAAAGGATCAGTGAAATTTTCGCAAACGTAACGAGCAAAGACTCGAAGACGAGTGACAATATGATTCGCTGCAGCAGACAAATAGAGGACGAGCGATCGTAAAAGCAACGATCGTAAAATACTTTCGTTGTACTTTCCTGCGTGATTCGTGCCATCGACGGATTTATGTAACGTGCGATATATCCACGCGATATCGTATAAAGACTCGGCCAGAGCTTGTTTAACGATTTGCCGCAACACGCGGAAATTAAGAGAATCGTAAGTTCGGAGTATAAATAATCGGTTGGAACGATTATTTACATTCTCTTCTACGCGTGACTTAGAACTAACATGCCTACTTGTTATGTAATTGACCACAAAAAGCACGAGCGCGTTTAGGGAAAGAGCTTCGCGAAATTCCTTCTCCTCTTCGTTAGGAATCGATATATCGAACCTATCCGATTGGAGGTGGACGAGTTTACGGTCGTTACGTAAGCTATCGATCCCATCGGGAACTACCAGGATAACAGAAGGAGACACGAAGTGTGTTAACAAGGACGACGGCGGGGTTTATAATCGTCATGGCCGCGAAACGAGACCGCAGAATTCGCTGAGGGTTGGCGAATCGTCGCTTTCTCTCCGCCTCGACGCTTACCCCTCGACGAGGAGAAACATCCCCTAACGAGAGGGAGAAATGAGAGAGATACCTACCTTGGTATGCAGAAGCAGTTAGCTCATCGAAGATGAAGACGAGAAAGACGTGCTCCTGGATGTGCGTCCGGAGACGAGATTGCGGTAAACAACCGGAATAAGAGAGCACGTTGTTTCAAGAAGTGGCAGAGGAGGATAGCAGGAGAATAGGCCTCGTGTCTCCGAACAAGGACGAGGAAGCTAATGGGATATTATCAGTCACAAGCGAGGAAAAATTATCGGATCGTTCACCATCGATCCTGTAGAAATAAATTCCCTTTATGCACCGAGTATCTTCAGTAAAAAATTTGCCCGCAAATTTGACAGAAAATATTCACCCGAAGAACGCATTAATGCGAGAACGTGAATGTAATGAGCGACTTTCTTTCGCGAACTATTAATTTATTGTCTCTCGGCAAGCCGCAAAATAACTTCCGCTTTTATGCAATGAAGTAATACGACGGAACGTTCGGTAACCCTTACGTGAGATCCGTTCATATGTTTCGAAAGTCGTACAAGACACGTACAACCTATTCAGATTTAGAGAGGTATATGTCAATTCTAAGAATGACAACGTACCATAAAATTATCTATGCCGTCAACTTGACATTTTTACTCGAGACATTGATTCAGAACTCTTGTTGTGACAGTCACGCAACGTCTGTTATTGTTGATTTATTGCATTAATGTCGTTTTTCATTTATTGAAAATATATTTAATTAAAAACATTAAAGATGCAAGACACAAAGACCCAAGTCGAAGATTTGTTAATTTTCTCGCATGCTTCGTGAAATGCTTGAAAGAGAAAGATGTGTATAACAAAATTAAAAAATTATCTCCGTTAGAGAAGCCTTAAATGTCCTTGTCTTTAAATAGATTCGCGCCTTTTGACACAGAATTTATTTTTTCTTTATTGCATAATTATTTTAAACTCTCGTCTATATTTGTGCATCGAAGGATCGTCGGAAAACGATGCTCGCTAATGTTTCTCGTCGCAATTTTACTCACAAGGTCTCGATCCGGCGGAACCACACTTCAGCAACACCTCGCCGATGGTTCGATTAGATCCGACGGATGCGACATTCGTGACAGCTATTCACACGGATTGCAATCCTTTTATCAGCGGCGGCCTCGGTATTACGCACCCAGTAGCGCACATTGATTTCTATCCGAATGGTGGCCGCAGTCAGCCCGGCTGTAACGAGGGTGTGGTCAATTCCATCAACTTGGAACGTGGCAGTTTCTTTCGAGGTGAGTCTGGTTATTTAATATTCATTTATACGACACTTCAGCATATATGATACGAAAGAAAAAAAAAATTAATACGCGAGATTGATACGCGCGGTCTTCTTTTCAGGAATCAAGAGATTTCTATCATGCAACCATATCCGCAGTTACGAATACTTTATCGAGAGCATAAACAGTCCATGCCCCTTCTTAGCTGTGCCATGTAACTCTTGGGACAAGTTCCAGGAGGGCAGCTGTTTCGATTGCGTAAACCAATACTGTCCCAGATTCGGACTGGACGCTCAGCCCGGAAACTATCACGCGACCGTATACCTCATGACCGGACATGACAGACCGTTTTGCAGTTAGTAATGACTTACTTATGTTAGAATTTAAATCACTATACATATACGTGCGCGAATCGCTTATATTTTTAATGACACCAAGTTAAATGAAGAAGACAATCGAAGATGTAGTAATTGTTTTAATATTATGAAATTGATTATGTGTTTTTGAAATTTTAAAATATCTAATATGTGATGAGAAGAAGAGAACAAGCATATTTTAATTTAACTACATTAACAGAGAAAGAAAAATATATAATAAGATAAATAATTTAATTTACTGATGACTGCAGAGGGCCACTACAAGGTAACGATAAATATCTCCAAGACAGACGAGAGCTTATCGTATGGCGGGGAAGTCGGGATGTTTATCGTGCGCGCGATTGGCACGAATGGCAAGAAAACTGAAAAGATGCAGCTGAGCTCGACCTCAAAATATTACGAGCCTGGTAGTACGCACACAATCGTACTGCCTGGAGATATTGTGGGCAAGCCAAACTCGGTCGAGATCACCTGGGAGTATCAGACCTCGGTCTTCAACCCGCTTACGTGGAGGTTGCTTCATACGCCACGGGCTTATATAGACTCGTTGACCATCAAAAGTCTGGAGACTGATCACGAGTAAGAATTTTACATATTTCTTATTTCGCGACTTTTTTTTATTTCATTATCGATGATGTAAGTATTCCTAGCGGAAAGCATCTGATTAGCCGAAGTCCTTGAACACGCAAGGTCCATATACACGCGATGTCCTTGCTGCCCTCTGCTGAAGTTTTAGAAAGTCATTATTTTAATTATATATGATTTGTTGTAGATAGTACATTTCACGCATGAACTATTACAAATAATCATTTAAATAGTACAATATTTTGTTTAAAAAGAGAGTATTATTTTTTGTTTAAAAAGAGATTATTTTTTGAAAATTTATTTTTTCATACAAATGCACAGGAAATATTTGTGCAAAAATTGACATAATATAATAATTGATATTATTTTTTACTTTAAATATTATTTCACATATCTTTTTGTTCACTCTTGTGTCTATATAATTTCTTATGATTTTATAGTTTCGCAATTCACACTGTATATTTTTATTATATTCGAACATTTCGATAATGACATTTGAAATGAAAAGGAAAGCGTACTTACTGATTAGAACGAATAAATGAACGAACTATTGACATTTAAAGAGACATAGACGTAAAGAGACGCACATACATCACAAATAATTATACAACAGTTAAGTAATCGACTCTTACGCATTGCGTAAATTCATTCTCCGGGTTTTCCTTTTTTTCAGAATCACCTTGTGTCCGGATAATACGAAAACGCTGATCGCAAACCAGCCAAAGATCTTGACTGTCGAAAACTGTCGCAACACGGAACACAACGCAATTTCCACGTAAAGAATCAACTCACGTGCCTCTTTTCTCATAATTAAGAATTAGATCTCGCTACTTGAAACCGGTAAAGTTTTCTGACAGGTTTCGACATTACAAACAAAAATGATCTCTATTCTTAACCGCGAAAATTAGCGTAGAGTGAATTTTGCACTGTCCGGGTAATAAGAAAGTTCAAATCACCGAAATTACAACACTAGTTTCGAATCAATGTTCGCAACGAAATCGATGACAAAGGCTGATGACCTGCTCGTTATTGCGAAATAATACTCCTTAACTGTCATTCGTGTGAAGAAATTTTGAAAGTTCTAAAATCAATCAAGCTGTCCACTTTTGTAAAAATACAAAGAATAAAAAAATATCCTTTCATCCCTCACTGTTTCAACATCAGTTGAAAGACTTATTGTATAATGTAGAATTGCAGAAATAATCACCGTAATTTGGACGACGCCTACACTTTTCATAGACTTTTCACTTTCATACGAATGACAGTTAATCTCCGGAAACTCTCGCATTTCCGATTCAATCCAAGTTGTTCATTTTGCGACTGTCATAGGTGAACAGCCGATCGTTGAGCGAGGCGAACGAGCGCGAATCACGCATAATAGCGCCGGTTTCCCTCGCAACCAATGGCAAAGTCACGATCCTTTCACTGTCATTATGTGCCAGGGGTCTCTTTCTCTCTCTCTTTCTCTCTCTTTTTCTTTCTTTCTTTCTTTCACTCTGACATTCGCTTTCATGCGACGCTGTCGTCGTTATCGTCGTCGTCGCACCGGTAAATTGCCGCTGACCCCATAATTTATGTTCATAAGTGCATTAATTTCATTTTGTTCATGAGAGACTAATCTAATGACAATAATGGCGTAACTAATGACTTGATGATGCGATGGGCATTTTAATGTTCCAACGCAAAGAGAAGAAAGGGAAAGGAATTAAATTTTCGAGGTAAGAAAGAATGCATCGTATTCACGAATTCGAAGAACGCGATAATATTATATAATGAGTATTTGTTTGTTCCGTTACAACGAGTCGTTATAACATTCTAGTGATTTTGCAATTTCATTCGTTGCCGCGCAACGAATTGAGAAACGTGAAGTGAGCCCGGCACGATTTCTGTATGTATCTTCGAATCACGAAAAATCAGACGAATCAGCTGATTTAATCCCTTCGACTTCCCTTAGACTTCAATTCTCATTATCAGAGAAGAAAAAGGGAGAAAAAGATTTTATAATGGATAGATTTAGCACAACGATTTTCCCTATGATGTAAGAAGTAGGATCTGAAGATTTCTAAGTTAAATTCAATGAGCTAAGCTGGAGAGTTTAATGCAATAGATAAGAATTATTTAATTTTTAATCAACGCATATAATATATTTATATACAAATAATCCATTACTTGGCATATATGATAAACTCATAACATAAGCAATTCAATTAAGAAAGTTATTCTTAATCACGAATGTATTTCTACAAATATAGTTCTTTAATGTAAACATTTACGCACACATGTTATTTCACTCGCTATGTAGTCTGAATATCCAGTTAATCAAAATAAGTATCGATTTTCTCTAAATAAGCTATCAGAACGGGAGAAACTATTTACCTTTCATTGATCATTTCATATACGTATTTAAACGCTTGTCGAAAACTTGAAATACGAGAAAGGGCGTGCGTTCAGAAAAATAAAAAATGGAATTAATAGCCGGAAAAATATATGTTATGTATGAAAAAAAATATATCGGAACATATATATTCAAAGTCACTATTACGACGCCCAGTTCCGCGTTCATTTCACGTTTCCGTTACTTCGTCATCTACATCAGATTTTATTTCTGATTGAGATCTCTCGATAATCCCTCAAAGTTCTCTAACGAGATTCCAAACTATCGGAAATCTTGAGATATCTGCATAGAGGCAATCATTGGCTTAGATCGAGAGTCGATCCCTGCATGAGTATCCCCGAATCAACCCACCAGATAACTCCTAGCCGACAACTCAAAACGACAGTGGTGGGCAGGTATTCCGGAGCAAGTGGAATCCGCTACGTGCACTCGAAGCAGTCGAGCGCCGGCCTCTCACCGCGACACATTTCGTTCCCTCTCTTGGTTCGGCTCTCTCCTTGTCTCTCTCTGTCTCGAGAGTGCAGTTTTCGAAAACGGCTACGACGCTTCGAACGTTTTCTGCAGAACGGATCCTCCGCAGGACGGGTCCTCCGCAGAACGGATCCTCCGCAGGATAGGTCCTCCGCAGAGACAGACGAAAGGGTGGTCCGCTGGAGGGTGTACGTGAATCTTGCGCACCCCGAGGGAATCACGTGATATACGCGACGAATCAAGGACTGCGTGGGAATTTCTGCGATGGATCGATAGACGGCAGGACGGCCACGTGACATGAGAGAGCGGCTTCGAAAATGTGAGTTGGTCGCGCGAATGTGTCATCCGATGCATCGCGTGAGCATAGAATTGAATACACTAAACGCATACAATGAAAACAAAACTTGACCTTCGTGTAGGATTAAACAGTGCACAAAATAGATGACTCAAATTGTTTTTTAACAGCTACGATACATTGACAAGAAGGAAAAAAAAAGAAAAAGATTGCAAGCTTCAGTGTCACGGTCTCTGCGTTTATTCATGCGACAAAAAAATTTTAAATTCAAAAAGAACAATTAGATTCCTTTGAAATTATATTCAGAATAAACTATTCAAAATAAATTATATTCTGCCTGACGTAATCTAGAAATCTACAGGAATGTTTATTCCGCTGGATGTGCGCATCCAGCCGCCGCGAAAGCAGACTATGTCACTGCTCTCACGACCTTGATAAAATAATAGCTGCGAAATTACACGAGTGATTCAACGCGAGATGCGAGCGAATTAAAAAGTCTGACTTATTTGCGAAAGAAAAATTGAAATTCCTCGTAGCGCGACGCAACATTTGTCACATTTGTTGTTTCTTTTTTTTTGACATTTAATCGTTCATGTCGCGTTAGAAAATGCTGTTTGTGCGACTCGAGCCACTCGCAACACAATTCCTGATTCAAGCCACGTGCTCAAAATCGCGACATCACGTTCAATTGATTCGCTTTTCAAGTGACGTTGCAATCATCGATTGCGTGCCCTCGATGCCCAAAATTTCCCTTCTTTCGACACCTATTTTTTTTTTATTCGTATTTTTATATACAAAATAAAACTAAAACAATCTTTGTTTTCTAGACAAGGATTTGACAACTCATTTTTTAATTTCGAGATTCATATTATTATATCTTCAATTAATATTATTATATCTTCTTACTAGAATTGATCCTGAAAAGTATCTCGAGGTAGCAATTTTACGAAATAAAAATTGCAAATTGCGAGGACCGAGCATTCTTGTCGAGACATTCGCGGATTTCGGAAATATGCGCGAGATGGGGGAAAAGAAAACAGGCGGCTATATAGACAGACGAGTTATAGACGCGCCAACTTTCTCCGGAGACAAGCCATGTAGCCTATGTAGGCGTGCGCTATGTGGGTTTGCCATCGCTTTACCGAGCCGATCTACCCGAGTTCGAGTTATAAATTAACGATGGCGATTACCAGTCGAAAATTTCCGATTCCTGATCGCCGAATCTACGTATATCGATCAATTAGCTGTCTTTAATCGCAAAAACATGCTGTCTTTATCGCTTTTTTTCTGCGCTTGAGTAATAATTGCGGCCTGTGCGATGTATCATTTAATTATCGTTGAACGTTAATTATCGTTAAACGTTTCGCTGCACCTCCGCGTTTGGAAGAGCACGCTCGCCGAGATTGATCCACTCTCGTCGCTTTCATCGTTAGCTCCGCGATGAAAGTTCTAGAAAGAGAGAATCTGAAAAAAAATCTCGTATATTTTAACGATATTTTAACGATATTAAATATTGTTTAAACGAAAACATCCACGACGTTGTTTAAAAATTCTTTCAGAAGAAGCCAGGTGCATTTTTATCACGTTGTAATTCACATTTATGATTTCGACGTTGCATGCACTTTCGATTCGCAACGCAGAATAGTATTTTCAGAAAAGAGAAGGAAGTTTGTCGAAAAAAATAGCGAGGAACGGCACGAAGAAGGAAGTCGATGGCGAAGAATGCAGACGCGAGATGCACGCTTCGGTGCATTCGCTGAAGAGAGTGTTGCACGAGACTCCCGATCATTTAGGGAGATTATCTTCACCGTTATCTGGGAAAATAATCGCGGCCTCTCATTTTGCGAGCGTTATTTCCTCGTTAGATAGAAATATCCTTTATGGAGTTGACCTTGCTGTCTTGTCGCATAAAAGACTATAATTTAGTCAATTGTTTGATTGCTATTTGCAATTCACAATATTCACGCATTTGATTGAAATACGTCAATACTTTTATATTTGCTGAGAGGACAAAGAGGAATTAAAAACCATATTTTTTATTAGACGTCAAATATTAAGAATTTAAGAATTTAAGATAATTTAATCCATTTTAAATAAGAGATCTGTAATTCACGACAATAATTTATTTATAGTTTTATATCATATGATATAGAAAAAATTAAAATGCACGTATATTATCAAATTGTATCAAGATATACATATATATTAAAATATGTGATATATAAAATTATGAATGGATTTTTATTTTGAATTTTATTGCGAAACATAAAATAAGTTTAAAGTAAACTTTAAAAAAAATGTATAATAAAGTATTTGTTTATTATTTTTTTTCATATATTAGGATAATTTTATTTTAAATGGTTTAAAAAGAAGCAACGACAAAATTATTATTTAAATTATTATCATTATCATCATTATTACAATTATTATCATTATTACAATTCCTTATTTCTCCATCTTTTCTGCTTTTAAATTTAATTTAAATTTATTATGACTATGAATGGGTATTTAATTTCATCATATCACTCGAAATTGAATGCCGCAATACTTGGCGCAAATTCAGAATAAGAGATTAATTCGCCTCTACTTTAATAATAATTTTCTTTTTTATATAAAGACGCGCATAAAATTTCAAAATTCACACTTTTTGTTACGTGGAATCTCATCAAGAGAGATTGTGCGAGTGATGCTGTAAATAAAAAAACAAATGCATCATACGCACTTTGTCGTTGCATAACACAGTGTAGCCGTAAATGTTGTAAACGACGGATCTTCCTGCAAGTCGAAGTACGTTATCTCGTCGTCGCGTCATCACAAAGGGCGTTAGCGAAGCGAAACATACATCCTTACGCAACAAACGAAAATGCGTACATACATATGCGTGCATACGCAGTATTTTTTCGCGATCGTACTTCCGCAAGAAAACGTGATCCTTTCGTGAAATCGCGCAAAAGTATTTACAGCTCGAAAATCATGAAAACGGTGATACCGGTATACGGCATATTAACGACTTGGCACTTGGGAAACGCACGTATACGTGTATATGGTGTGTGATGTTAAAAATTATCACTTGTAACGGAAAAGTTCAACCGGAAAAGGAACTGGCACGCGGACAATCCGATCGAACGTTCTCTTCGTGAAAGGAAATTTTCCGAATCGAAATTTTCGAATCTCTTTCGGGGAGAAGTTGCGGAAACTTTTCAGACAAAAATCGTAGAGTAGATTTCATCAAAAATATACGTATATATACTCTTTTAAATTTGAAAAGTCTTATGAAGTAAATTAATATAAATTGAAATGTGTGTGTGTGTGTTGTGTGTGTGTACACGCGGACTGTAGGAATCAGAGTGTGAAATGCATTTCCTCTCGCTGTCTCCTTTCACGCTACCTTCCTTGTTCTTCCAGGCCGATTTCACGTTACCTTCCTTGTTCTCTCATCACACTGGTTCCTCGCCTAATCATCTTAACAACCGGTTATTTGCTTCTCACGAAGACCTACGTGTCTTTTCTCTGTCCACACGTATTATTTTGTCTCACTCTTTCCCGTTTGCGTTGAATCTCGCGACATTGAAATGCAAAATCAAAATAATCGTCCCTGTCGAGGGGGAGGCGACGCATCTCAATCATTGTCGTATACATATGTGAGATGGAGAAACGAGCGAGGAAAAAATCACGCGCACAAAACGAGCACATGGCGCGCGCGAATCATTACGTAGAAACTCGACGGTGGGTCGACGCTGCAACTTTCGCGATCGCATCGCCTGTGCATCGGTGCATCTGCATTCCCCCGTTGTAGACAGGCGCATCTTTCGCTTCCGCATCCGGCCACGGATCTCTTAGAGCGAAATTGTTGCGCGCGCCTGTCGCAATTAGAGGCGCATATCGCGTCAGTAAGACGATACATCATCATACTTTTATTCAAGAATTGGATAAGTAATCCCGTCTTTTCTATCGTTAATGCGATAAACGATTTCAATTTCGTGCTAATTGCAAACTAACGGAGTAATAAGATAATTTGCCGCACTTCCGCATAGATTATCCTGTTATCGTCTTAAGCGTAATACTCGGACGAGTAGTAGAAGTCAGAGGTAAGCAAAGTAGTATTTGAAGTAAAAAATAAAAATTTTTACATTAATTTTCTACTTTTATTAAATTATAAATAGATTAAGTTAAATAAATAATTTACTTTTATGTTAAATATCTTTCATTATATATGAACAGTAAAATATTTGAATATTTTCACGAATTTATAACTTATACATTATATAATTAATAACTTATATTTCTTTTTTCACATATAGTTTTTGTTCGTGTCTTATTAAATCATATGAAATAGTTTCTTAGAACAGGATTAGAAAATAGACATTAATTTCACGTATCGATTTTGTCATTTTGCTCTATTTAAAATAAATAATATTTGAAATATAATATAACAAATGATAATTGTAATAATTAATATGAATTTAAAAATTTTATGTTTCTTCAGAATTTTTATTGATTAAATAAAAATATTGGGAGGAGGAGAGATAAGATCAAAATATTAATATTATAAAAAGCATCTTATTTATAAACGCATTATTTAATAGTTATTTTTAATTCTTATGCTTGAAATATGTCCATTGCTGATAATAATATATGATAGAATGTTATGCAGTTAATAAAATGGCGGCTTTGCCGCATCTCATATCACTAATTATCGAGCACCTCATATCACTAATTATCGAGAAAAATACCTTAAACTGAAGGGGTTGAAGGAATTAGCTATTATACTGGGCGTTTTATAGAAGTCATATGCTTCTGCTAACCGCAGATGTTGAAACCGCAAACTAGGAAAATAAAGCGATTGCTCAATTCCGACAATTCTATCGTCCAAGTGCCATACACGAATGTCACGACATTGAATTTCCGCCATGTATCACAGGTGAAATTGTGATGGAACGATCGCAGCGCGATGATTTATCGATGGAATTGAGAGACGTGAGGAGAAAATCGCGATGACCTCTTGAATTAGAAAGTAATTAGTA